TGACATATATAAGTTAAAGGCGATGATGTATAATCTTGTTAAAATATCAAAAACGGGTATCAATTCGCCTGTTTTTTGTTTCTTGTAGACTTACATGGCACTGCTTGCCCTCCTGTGCAGCAGCTGCAGCAGGCTGCCGTCTCCGGCGGAGGAGCAGAGGCTGCGGGAGCGGGTGCGCCGCCCCCCGCTGCCGCCCCCGCTGCCCCGCCGCTCGCCCCGCTCCCGCCACCTCGTCACCAGCGACTCCAGGCAAAGCATCGCGTGACCATCGCAAACCATCCGATACGATTTTTTTTAATCTTACCTACTGGCTGAATGCAGCCTGCAATTTTAATATAACGCAAAAAGAACGAAATTGTTTTTAATTTTTTGTATTAATTAAAATTTTGTTTAGTATTCAATTTACGGATATTATGTAAAAATTTAAAAACAGACAAAATTTATACTTTAGATAAATTTTTAAGAAATATGCGGACAAAGTTTGTCAATAAACTTTTCTCTAAACAGGTAAAATAAGGGACGGTTACTTTTTTATAACTTTCGCGTCGCAAAAATATATATCGTTATTAAATTTTCCACTTCACACAAAAATACCAATTACATAATACTATACTAAAATGTCCACTATAAAATATTAATTGCCGTAAAAGTTTGGTTTTACAAATTGCATACTCCGATAGTGTCAAGTTTACATTCCGGATCGCAACAGTGCCCGAGACACGACTCACCCGAGCGCCGGTTCGCGACTGAGGGCTGAGGACCGTCGCTAGACAACTGACATACCACCCCTAAAGCCTTACTTGAGAATTTTCGCGCAGGTTTTATTCGAAAGTATGTCATTGTCAAAATTGATAACAAAGTTAATTCGCAGGACGCTAGCGATAACTGTTTACGTTATACAAGTAACAGCAAAAGCTTATATCCCTCCGCATTATTCTTCAAAAGAACAAAGTTTGAATGTTTTCGGTCAAAGCAGTCTTCTAATTTAAAAAAAAAGTATTTTAAAATAATACTTTTAATAAATATTTTTCTTCATGGACATGGGTACATTTGTATAATTTTTATAAATTTAATTGTTGAACGGAACTAAATTAAAAAAAAAAAAATCGTTGATTTTTTAAAATTCCATACACAGATTCGTATTGAGATACACGTAAAAAGGAATATAGAATTTCTATCGATGTAGACGAGAGCGGTGTATTGAAACCCTGGTAAACGTAAATACGTGCCCGGATCTCTGAGTAAGGGGCGTAAGTTTATTTATTTATTCTTTACGATATCTTACTATAAGAACATGGAATTCATCGACGAAATTAATAGCAATTAATCAATTAAAAGGAAAGATGACTACGAAGATCCATCGTATTTATTATGAGAAATGTGTAATATTTATTTGCCAATTGCCGTTATTTAAACCAGTCGCTACAAAGAAAACGTACATTAAAGTTTAATCAATAATGTCGCAGTGCAATTTTGTAGCTAGCAAGAATTAAAAACATGTTAGATTCAAGACTGCTTGCATTTATTAGGTATGTTGTATCCGTTTGAACCTTTCCGTCTACATAACTAATAGCTATGCATCCTATAAATTTTGGGTAAGTGCGTTTCTATTATTCGTAAATTGTATTTGACACTTCAAAATTAATGTTGTTTATCTGTTGGCTTGAAATATAGTTAATTTTTAAACGTTTTCATAGCTTACTACAAAGTTTAAAAGCAAAGTTTATAACCCTTTAAAGGAGTGGTTTTTGTGTTACGTGTTTTTCTACTAAAAAAATAGTTTGGTATCTGTTATCTGTCTCGCTCGACTTCTTATAATACATAGTACCATAATAAGCAAAGTAAAAAAAAAAGATAATTTAGTAAATGAAAATACAAAGTGGATTCGTTCTTTGTTCAATTGGATTAGGCGTAATGTTTACCCAGACGGACTTGTGATAGTAAAATTGCTTTGAACAGCGCCAAATGAAATACGTGACTTTTCATCGATCCATTCCGCTCGCTCCACTATAGATGGTATCAGTTTAAATAAACTAAAATTACAATTTGAGCTTTAAAAAATCGCTTAATCCGTGAACTAATGTTTTATTCACGAAATTCAATATAGGACTTTAACTTAATCACTATTGTACATGGATCAAGGATAGACCGGCAACCTTTTCTTTACCTTTAACACCTTTGACATAGATATCTTCGAGTCTAAGCGAGTGATATAAAACAACTTAAAAACATAAAATATAAAAAGCTCTATTTCGTCCTTTTGATATTTTGTGACATTCCATCAAATATCTTGTCCAATTATTTTGACAAAAGAAATTAAATTGGTATGGTATGGTATTGTATTATGCAAGACACCAAAACAATGGAACAGTACATAAATAGTAAGAAGAACAGTAAAACCCCAGATTTTATGCGTACTTTGCACGATAACTGCAGGCGAAGTCAACGTACGCTTAATGGAATGCTCATGCCAAAATTCCCCTCAGCCGGGAAGAACATTAACATTCAGATATAAACGCCAGATGTTAAGAGTGTTTGGAATCGGGAGGACTTAGCTTCCAGCCTTTATAGACAATAAAGAAGATAAATGCAGGACTTAAGTGATATAATCTTTTTAAATTTATTCAGTGACAAAAAAGCAAAAAGAAAGTCATATTTAGTTTTCTTTTTAATTAAACACTGGCTTGAAGAATAAAATTAAAATGTTTTATTTATTTATATTCATGTTCTTTACACGTATGTAGGTGTGTATTAAAATTCACGAAAATCATATTATTTAAAATATTTGATGGAATTCGAGCAAGTGGGCGGCTACTTCCATTAATAGTTTATGTAAACGAAATTTTGTTGCAGATCCTTTCTACTCACGTACACGAGAACACGACATGCATATGATCAAAACACCAACTGAGTTTAATTTAATGTGTATAACTTCAAAATAATTTTAAAACACGCGTATATACATTGACAGTCAAATATTAACTATCTTAAATAAGACAAAACTATTTTTGTTCTATGTTTATTTTTTCGTGATTTTTAGGTGGCTATAGTGATAAGTTAATGACATAATTTAATAACCTAACATCAGTGATTTATTAAAAAATATGAATACTACTACTAATCAAGTTTTACTAGCTGTCGCCCGCGACTCCAATCGCGCGGAATAAAAAAATAATTAGTAGCCTATGTATTCTTCCAGACTATGTTGTATATGTACGTCAACTTTAATCAAGATCCGTTTTGCCGTTCTGGAGAGTACCTTTAAACAAATATCCATCTTTCTAAATTCTAAACGTTCGTATTTATAATATTAGTAAGATAGATGCGAAGTTAAATATAGCAATAATATTAATTTCATTATTGCAAAATATCGCCATATAAATCTCTTTTCCCAAATCATATCGTAATAAGTAAGTCGGAGCTCAGCCAACAAGCAGTTGGCCAAGTGCCCTCATATAACATATCGTCGGAAATGTCAAATAAGCTTCGTATTATTAGATTTGTAACTTAAACGTAATGATTAATGTGTTTTTAATTTTCTGCCTTTCTTCTTTAATATAAAAGTGTAGCTTATTAATATTATACTATTGTTTTTATATGCAACATTTATTATAAATCAAAGGTTTCAAAGTGTGTTTTTACATGGTCGATGACCTTTCTCTTCGTCTTTTTACGCAATGAACTATTTTAGGAGACACAGAATCATTTAACTTTGTTCAAGATTTATATTGAAATTATAAAAATAACAAATAACTTTAAAAAAAAAAGCTTTAATAAGTTCTTGTTGATTAAACTAATAATTAAAAAAAAATCATCTACACGATTCAAACGAGCTCAAGCTCGATCACGTCGTGTCGTTTCATTGCGAAGTTCCTATAGGCACATTTTAACTCCATTATCAGATCAGCGCCATGCATAATATTGCATTGGCACGCGATTACACATATTACTTTTTTATTGATGTGGAGGTTTTCTTCCTCCATATCAATCTATCGTAGTAGCAAAACTACTGAAGAAATAAACAAAAAAAAAATCAAAAAAGTATAAGACTTTTATCAAGAAGTAAAAATCAGAGCTAGATTTATATTCAATGACGAAGACGTCTTTGTTGCCTGTAATCTCAAAGCCGACACTAAAAGAAATGGCTGGCCAAGAAATGAATAAGTAATTACCATGTCTATGAGATGTGCTGAAAGACTAGCTCCAATGGAATTTATTAGATTTCCCTTTCGCGGGCGACGGCTTTGATGTTCGCTCGAACGTGTTATTGTCTAGCATTCCCCTGATAGACAATTTATTTCTTTAATATCGACTTTAAATTATTTATATATCTTTAGTAAAATTTCTTAAAAATGTAGCCAGTAATTAGCTTTTAACCTATAGATAGATGCCCAGAAATTGTCATTCGATTTGACACGGTCCGACATTTCTTTCCTCTATAATGTTTTGGGAGTGTGAGAGTTTTTCAAAGAACGTAACAAAGTTTGCTTTTTAATGAAAAATACTATTGCTTAAAATAGGCCCAAAGCGTGTCTGGCAACGATCCAATTCGATTCCAACTATTCTTATGCCGTTTTACACTTAACTGGCAAAGAAATTTTTAAAATATTTGAAGAATTTTAACACAAATTGAAGTTAAATTTTAGTTAAGTTAGCACGCTCCTATTACATACCTAAAGTATCATAGAATCATACAACCACACATTACGACTATTGCACTATTTTTGTAGGAAATGTAGCAGGTAATTTTGAGAAACTTAGAGAAAAATCGAGAAAGTGAAATACATGGTAGAGTAGGATTTTTACATTTATAATACAGCGCCACCTATTGGAAATACGATATATCCATTACAGTTTTTCGCTTGCAAGCGTCAAGGGCAGAACGGAAAGTTTCAACGTTTTCACTTGCTTTAATAGATGGCGCAGTAACGAGCTTGTCGGCGAAGTTAAAAATGACATTAGATTCGTGATTTGACAATCTGCCGCAGTCATGTGTCAAAATCAAAAGACAGCTGCGCAAAAATAAAGGCAAACCGGTTGAATTTATTAAATCAAATATTTACAAAAGTATCAACACTTAAATCATATTTGATTGCATTTACGACATATTGTGAGAGGAATATTTATATAAAGGGAAAGCGAAAATAAAATTCAACGTTGTTGAAAGCACAATTTCAATAAAATTACTTACCGATTTGTCCAGCCTTCCAGAGAGCTACTTCTGTATTCAGGTGTGCACTTTTTATGGACGTTACTTATTTTACTTTTTAACTTTATACCTATTTTTTTCGGGCTGCTTGGTATTTTTAAATTTGACATCATTTTGTGTGAAGATTACACTTATGTTGTAAACAATATTAAACCATGTTAATTAAAATTATATTTTTTTATTAGATTCGTCATGGAAGAGTCAGATAGTGAATTTGCCTTTGAAACAGATCATTTAGCACTGCGGGGGAATCAAGATTATTGTGAGTTGCTTAAATATATAGTCAAGTTAGAAGCTATTAAAGTGAAAGCTTTAAAAGATATTGAGGATATATCGGAAGCGCAGAAGGAAGCTCTAGATAATCCTTTGCAATTTGTGGAAGATTTAAAGGAAAACAAGATAAACTTCCCACCTCGACAAACTGTCCCCGACTTACCAAAAATTGATTGGAACAAATATAATATTGATATATCATTGGAATGTGAAGAACCAAGTTTTGTTAAAGAAGAAATTGATACAACAACAAAAGTACGTGGAAGGAAGTTTACTGATAATAAACCTGAAACATTTAACCAACTCTGGTCATGTGAGGAGCAAAAGCGGCTAGAAGAATTACTAGAAATATACCCTGAGGAGGTAACTGAGGCAAGCAGATATAAAAAAATTGCACAAGCTTTAGGAACAAGAACACCTATACAGGTTATGAGTCGAATACAGAAATACTTTGCTAAATTAGCTAAAGCTGGCTTACCTATTCCTGGCCGAATACCAAAGCGGATTGCAAAAGACAGAAATAATTCAATATTTTATAAAAAGTCAACATTCTTTCCGCAATTACATGTGCCTGTTAAAATGGAGGATCCTCTAGATAGCATAGATGCCTATGATGGAACCTCTACATTAAATACAAAAGACAGTAACAAATATATTCTTGAATTATTGAAATCAGCAAAAGAGCAAAGAATATTGGATGAAACATCACCTGTTTATCAGACAAACACAATGTGTGTTGGATGTATGAAAACGGGATTTTTAGGAGCGAGGTGGACAGACAATGCTGGTACAGACTATTGCACTGATTGCTTAGTAAAACTTTTGCCCGCTGAAAAGTTAATACCAGTTAGAATAGTGCAATAATTTTATAATTTTTAATAAAAAATTATAACTTATATTTTTGTTTTGTATTTTTAATATATAAGAGTCAAATTTAATGTCTAAAATATTCAATTTACTCTAAATTAATTTGCAAACTAATGTATGTTGAAACCACTTCACAAAAATTCACAACACAATACTGGCCACTTATTAAAAAAAAAATTATCCGCACAGAAACAGTTAGATCGTGAAATTAGGGATGAAATACGACAGCTCCAAGCCGAGAGTGTAGTGATAGTGGGGCAGCCGCCGCCGCGTCTGATGAAGGATCAGTGGCCCGGAACAGTGAACATGGCCCGCGCCCGACCACTCTATTCTATTCCGTATATGTACAGGGCAAAGGGATACTGTAACTTATACCTAACTATGTTAGAAAATCTTCAATGGATTGTTATATGCATAGGGTGCGATTTTTTTTTAATTGTCTCTTAGACTGTTGCGTTATCTTTAATAACTTAAATTGTGGTGCCCTGTGTACTCATCATCAGCAAAAAACGCTTTATCATAATTTTTCTGTGAGCACCTATCATATTGTATGTCCCTTATGCTTTTTTTTTAATTCGTAACATTGATTAAGGTTACATTAAGGAAAGAAAATTTTATCCAAGAACAGATGATTAAAATAAGATAATTATCCTTTTTCTAATGTCATAGCGCGTATGTTGCCTATAATCTTTTCAAGTAGATATTTTTATTGTAGAAAACTTTTTATTCTATTAGTTTGTTGAAGTGCACACTTATAATGGAACTTTCTTAAGTTCCCACATCTATTCTACAAAGCGTTGTGCTGCGTGTCGATATTTGTTGCGTTCGCTACGCATTTGATAAAAGCTTTTTCTATGCAATTCGCTCATTTCGTCACACTACAAACACGAAACCTAAACTTACCTAGTTCCGCTTTTGTTTTGATACACTGAAAATAATATTCAAATTATTAATCTATATATATAAAAGAAAGTCGTGTTAGTTAAACTATTTATAATTCAAGAACGGCTTTACCGATATGGCTAAAAATTGGTGAGGAGGTAGTTTAAAGCCAGGAGACGGACATAGGATATATTCATTAATTTTTTTCGAATTTATGCCTTAAGTTGCTTTTTATTTAATATTATAAATGCGAATGTTTACATGGATATGATGTGGGCTGGCTACACTAATTAAGTGTTTTATATATCCACGCGGACGGAGTCGTGGGCGACAGCTAGTTATTAATAACTACAGATACAATTATTCAAGATTTATTTTTGGATTAAAAAAAAATAGATTTATTAATTAATAGGCTTTTTATGATAACGTCACTATTTTAAAGATTTAAAATATACGATAATAATATTGAAATCATGATACGAAATTTAAAAATTGTATAATATTTTATACTCCTGACGACAGGATAAATTGTAAGGCATAGTCATAAAAATAGTAGGCAATTAATCAAAAGGATTTTATCATACAACATTAATCTTCTATTCTATTGGATAGTTTCATATTGATGAATGTGGCACAATTTTTGTTCCTTTTACATAGGTAGGTCATGCAAAAGGTAAATGATTAATGAAGTCCATCATAGTTTTAATAATTTTATATCAAGATTTTATTTCACTTAGTTTTTTTATTAAAGTATTATTTTGTGTAATACTGAAGTAATACTTTTCTAACTGCATCCAAGTGTAGGAGCGTCGGTGGCTCAGTGGTCAAGCACTTGACTTGCAATCTGCAGTTCCTGGGTTCGAATCCAGCCATGTACCAATGTGTTTTTCGATTTCCGATTTACATATGTACATTTATCCAACGTTGTTACGGTGAAGGAAAACATCGTGATGCAACCTGCACTTATCTGAGATGTAATTCAAAGATATGTGTGAAGTCAACCAACCCGCACTTGGCCAGCGTGGTTGACTATGGCCTAATCACAGTTAACTTAGGGTAGGCTCAGAGCCCCTCGGTGGGGACGTATGAACGTGAGCTGATGATGACTTTTCTAAGTAATTTTATGAGTAAACTTGCGGATTATAAAAGCACTTTATTTAACCCTCTGTTTCTCTCCAAAATTTGCCCTTTGATTCGTAACTTAAACCTATATATTACTTAAACAAGATCTTGTAATCTCATTTACATTTCCCATCTATCCATACACATGCTTTCAGACTGCGAACCTACATATCAAAACCATTCATCACATAGACGTTAAATTAGTAACATAATTAGATTAGATTGAAATTTAGTGAATTAGTAATCAATTTGAAGACATGATGAACACACATAACCCTTCCATTAGTTTAATGACATTTGAAACCAGTCGATTAATATTATTCAATTAGTTAATCGTTCTAAACTGATTAAAATCACTTACGTTTTAATGTTGTGATGGGATTGGTTATCCTTTAAGACAATTTATAGTACAGCTAAATCATCAAATACATTCTCATCTTAAATAATATTGACATAATGGCTTCTAGCGCAAAATATTTGCTTTTTTATATGTGTCATAAAGGCTAGCTAGAAAATTAAAGTTAGTTAGAACAAAAGCTTAGTTTGTGCTTAATTTATATTAAGGTTTAATCATCGATAAGTGGTAAAATAATTAATTAGTATGTTGATATAAAATCATCTTTCAGTCTACCATATAATATTTTATAATAACTTTTATTTACATATTGTTACATTCAATCTATAACACGTTTTGTTACAAAGAAAACTTATAGTTTGTGCTAAGAAGACTTTCCGCCCAACCCTGTTTACTTCCTCGAACCTAATCGGATTTAAAGTTTCCAACAAATTGAACACGACAGGATCTTTTCAAAGAACCCAAAGTGATCTTTTTGCAACTTTCCTCTAACGTGCTTTAAAAGCCATTGACTAATCGATATAAAATCGTTTTTAGTTTATTATAATGAAAAAAATAATTAAGTTTTTGATACACTCTGAAATACTATGTTAGTACGTGTTAACACAAATGTAACGTTTACGACGATTGAAGTTAGAACTTTCATTCGATTCAATCATTGGTATCACAGGGGCAAGCGGTGGACCGTGAGAGAAGTCCGCTGCAAATACCATCTAGGGCAACTATTAATCAAACAAAGCGATGCCCTATTTCAAAGATTTCTTTTTGTTCAACACTTTATAAGCAACTTTATAATGTACCACCTTTTATTATTACTCCTTAAAGATTGAAATAGCAACAAACTGTACTACTATCATTTACGAATTGGCCAACTTAGAAAGTTAGGAAGAATTCCATAAAATATCACCGTTAATTCCCTTGCGTGTGCTACAAGAATACTATATTTTGCAGTCTCAAGATTTTTTAGTCTCATAATTTTAAGCAAAGATATTACTAAGCTAATTATTATGTAGCGACAAATGCTACGGATTCTTCGTAGCATTATACGTATGTAGCGATTTGTCTACATATATATTAAAGAACTTTAAAAAAACGTAATAAATGATTAGATTAATTCTATATTGATTAAAATATTTGCTTCTATATAAATGTAAAATGAATAAAAACATTTATGAAATATATTTTTCAGTGTCAAAAATAACCACTTATATTCACGGCACATTTTCCGTTCGTATAAATCAAATGTGTTGCACATTTCTAAAGGAAAATATTTATTGGATACAGGGATTGTAAATATAAATGCAGCTCACGCTTTTAGCATTTGGATATTTATTAAACTTTTAAACAATATAAAACTTTTACTTTGTTAAAAATAAAAGAAATCTTGCCAATTAGTTGAAGCAAATCCTCTCTGAAAAATAATTACAAATAGGACTATATAGATACCTGGTTAGTCGTTTAGACTCTAGGCCGCCATGATGGAATTTACATACCTTCAAACCCACATACAAAAACAAACTTTCATACGCACGAAAAACGTTACCCTTTTGTCAGTGGGGTAATAATAAAAATACGGTCATCTCTCTCACTCTGTTAGGAAATATAGCATTTATTTATACAGAAGATGCACTTCTATACGGGAAACCTACTTATGATATAATATGATATTTGGAAACATTTTTTTGTCCCTCTATAGATGTAAATATATTTTAATTATATCTAAATTGTGATTTCATTTAACATACAAAATTGTATTCCGAAGCAATTTAATTGGTTTACGCCCGCCTAAATTATGGAATTGGTTGGATTTAATTTGGTGGTATTTTGGGACCATTTTATATTAATTCCATTTTATTTTTTGTCCACCTTTGATGAATATCTTGCTGGACTCGTGAGTTATTCACATAATGATCACACTAACACATGTGTCAAGGACCGAATTAGACTGTATAAATATGTAAGAGAACGTTCCAATTCGAGATTACGAGAAGCCAAGTTGGCGAAAAGAACATGAGTTCAAATATATTCAAAATTATTTATCGCTTTAGTAAATAATAAATTAAAGTAAATAAAATGCAACTAGCCGTAGCGGTTTGTAGCAAGGACTTATCAAGAAGTTTGTAATTTATCCTTGTCACGTCGCCGGCTAACTCATTGAACTTTGGTCGTTTTCAGTCCGCAGCTTTGTCGTTTTGTATAAATTGTTACTAGTAGTAGTTTGATTACAAATTATATTGAAAAAAAAATTGTTTTTAATTCAAAAATTAGCTACAAGAATAAGATAGACCTAAGTGGACAACAGGAAAGTTCAGATTTATTACCATCAGTAACGAAGCCAGAGATTACAGGTAGAAACATTTGAAAATGCTTTCTAGTTCTAAACATCCAAATTAAAAATACTTTTGTAGGTATTATTTTCAAGTGAAAATTTTAACTGTTGAGTAATGGCTGGCGCGATGTTTGAAATATTGCAGTGCAGTCTAAAACTTTTTGGTCAATGATACAACGTGTTAAAATAATGGTTTTTGTTGTTTTTGCGATATGAAATTAAAATTTTAACTAACGATAATAGTTTAGAGAAAAAAAAATTGAAAAAGGTAAATATTTGTACGGATCCTATAAATCAAGTAATAAATTTCTATAAACAAAATATTTGAAATAAATTTT